AATAAAAGTGTCAAACACGAAAATGTGACATTTAGAGGGATGCTATAACTTCTTCTTTTTTTCCGAAGGGATACTATGACTTAAAATAGAAAATTTTTGATTAATTAATAATTTCTATTTGGTAAAAGTTTGAGAAATTGAAGTGGACTTTTAAAATACATCTATCAAAACTCAAAACATTAGTTCTGGTCATAAGAAAAACTCCTAGAACAAGTGAAAATATTATATACAAGATTTCTTCTCCATAAGGCTTCACACAATTTTAATTATTTATTTATTAATCAATTGAATTACACAAAAATAAAAAATAAAAAAATAAAATAAAAGGGTAAAGATATATGTTGGATACAGATTGAACTCCATCTTTAGTAATTGCTGTTTTAAGGGCTTTTTTATTAGTAATGGCTCTATGGGCCTATACTATGTCTTGTTTTGGGCCTTAAGCCTCTTTTGAAAAAATATATTAGTCTCCAAAGTGAGCTTTACTAATTTCAAATTGGTTAGATAATTCGGCCTATCTCTTGTTTTGGGCCTCAAGCCTCTTTTTAAGAAAATCCAATTGTCTAGCATACTAGATTCAAATGGGTTAGGTGGCCCGCCTGTCCTCCTCCCCAATATACACTTGTAAATATTTTCTTTTTCTTTTATACAATTGTCTGAATTTCTTCCATAAAACAAAAAAAAACACAAAAGAAAAGGGAAAAAAATAATAATAATAATAAAAAGGTACAAAATTATGAACACCCCCCAAAACAAAACCAAAGAATGCTATTTTCTTTGGTAAATAAAAGTTCTTGTTCCTTTTATTTCACTTGAAAAAAACAATCCACAACATTGGGGTGACCTGAGGGGTTGTACGGATTCCGTAAATTAACCGGGACAAAATCCCGAACATCCCAGTTATTGAAAAAAAAAAAAAAAAAAAGACACACACACACAAACATTGAGATGACCCCAAAAAAATGTACTTGAAACATTAAAAATACATCACTCCCCTTCAAATATTATATAAAGCTATAATTCCATCAATATCATCTGCATCGAGACCTTTTGTTACACCACTAGAAACTGATGGATACAGGATAGCATTCTCAACCGAACTGTGCCCAAGCCCTAAAAGATGTCCAATTTCATGCAAAGCAACTGTCTCCAAGTCAATTGCACCCGAAGTTGCACCATCAGACCATGTCTCGTCCGCATCAAAGTGGAACCTTCCATCAGTTGGCGCCCAAGCATGAGCCAGGGTTCCACCATGCCCATCAAATGGCCTTCCATCTCCATGATCACCTCTCTAAAAACTAATTGTCATGTCAGCATTTTCATAGTCAGTCTGTGCAAACGTGAAGTGTGTTACGGAAGTCCATTGGTCGAAAGCTCGTGCCACGACTCCAATGGCGTCGAAGCGAGTGCCTGGGGAAAACCCATAGGTGAGCTGTGCGTTCGCGTGTGGCCATCTTGGGTAACCAATGATCGACTGTGTAAAAAGTGTGGTGGTGCACATTACTTTTCTTGCCAGTTGGCATCCAACTTTTGTCGTTTATGATGTCTGGAACACCACATCGAGGCATCGTCATCATGGATGGGGTAGGAGTGTCGAGTGCTTTCGTGGGGTTCAGATGATAATTGTGCCGGTAAGTTTTGATGGTGGACTCCAAGAAATCGTCAAAGTCATCATTGTTGAAATATGTTTGGTTTTGGGGATTGAGGTTGCTCATATAACCAAATTTTTGAAGATTGTTTTTGAGCATGTGGAGTCCCTTAACATTGTCACCCTTTTTGACACCCTTGCAAGGGCTTGAGATATTCAAATGATGAGTGTGCATGAGAGAGGTGAGGAATGAGTATGAAGAAGATGAAAATGCATGAGAGGACCAAAAACAATTTAGATGCCATTATCACATAGGATTGAAGAAAATGATGTTATAATTTTTGGATGATGAAGTTGCTCATTTGTGCAGGTCTATTTATAGACTTCTTTGAGGAAAAAAAAATAATAAGGAAAATTACTATCAAATTAATCATACTTGATTTTTTTTATTTTTATCATTTTTGAAACCTAGTTAGTCATTTCACGCTAATGTGACTTTTACTTGGTCGTGCGAATTCATATTGTAGACTAAGAATTTTGGCCAATCATTAACATATAATACTTAAAGTGTATGCTAGTAGAAGTAGACTGAATAAGATTCCTTCAGTCTATATATATATATATATATAAAGCCAAACTGTTTCAATTACTTAAATTGCAACATGGTTTATCATTTTATTATAAAAACAAGGAGAATTGCAAATTGCCAATTATTATCTAGTGTGTGTTTTTTCACTTATGTTGTTATCTCACTATTAGGGAAGATCCAACTTTTAGCAATATTATATATGCTTAAAAGATCAATTGGCCAATTATTAACATTTAATAATTAATTTAGGTATCCTAACTCCATGAAGGAAACTGAAGAAGATTCTTTCCGTCCATTGTTGTATTAGGCCGGCCTCTGAAATTTATTATAATTATTATTATTATGTATCTAAATTTTTCTAAATTGTAATAACAATCCAACTAAATTAATAATTGAAATCGAAGTATGAGCAATTCTTAATAGAAATATCAACTAATGTCAAAGCCGCCATTATTATTATTATTATGGTAGTTTGAAATTTTTTTATGTTATTGTTCAAATCCGCTACATTTCAATTCATTTTCTGGCTCCATGCCACTGTATATATAATTCTACTTTCTTTGCAAGATGGTTTATCATTTTTTATATAAAAACAACACGAATTGCAAATACATTTCGAAAAAAAAGAAAAGAAAAACAAGAATGGAAAATTGCCAATTATTAATTCTAATATGTGTTTATTCACGTATATTGTTATGCCGATCATAGACTTAGGAAGATTCAACTTTTAGCATTAAGTTTAGAAGTTTTTTATTCTTCTGCAATGAAGACCAAACCTCACACATTTACCGTTATAAAATAAATAAATCAAATCTCGAACATGACTATATATATATCAGGCTCATTGGTGCAACCCTATTTTTTTTTTTTTAGGATAAATCATCATTGGTGCAACTTGAAGAGATAATGTAGACAGATCAATGCCTGACTAATGTATGGCCATAGAAAAAAAAATTATTCATTTGTCCATATAACCTTTACCATTTTCAGATACTACTTTTTAAGCATGTAAATATTTACTCTTGTATACAAAAGTATCACTTATGTGTATGCAAATATTATTTTTTTGTATTTTTTGTGCAGAACATGTCATCAAAATAATTTGCACTAAAAAAAAAAATTGCATGCATAAAAAGTGGGATCTCATATCCATGCATAAGAATGGTAAATCTCTGCACAAGATTGGTACATACATGTACAAAAGTGGACTTGAAAATAGTAAGGGTGGTTTGGGCAAATAAACGGTGTCTTTACATGTTCACATCAGCATTTTGAACAACTTTCTTTTTTCTTTTTTTTTTTCTTTTTTTTTTGATGAAATATCATAACTTTGACTCCATAAAATAGTAAATATATGTAATGTTTCCGATTTTTATCATTTTCCATTTTCTGGAATTTTTCTAAATTTTGAGGGTATTTTCGTCTTTTCTCTTTTTGCTTGCCGAACACCGTGGGGTGTGCCAGTTGTGTCCAAGAGTTGGTTGGAACATTTCCTTAAGTTCAAAACTCTTGGAAATGCACTGGTTTCCACTTTAGCATTTTTCTATTTTTCGGACCGAAATGTCCTATGTGGGATCCGCTACCGAGGTTGCTGAGCACGAAGTTGTGTCACGAGTATTTTGAGCTTAAGTTTATTGTTTAAATGCTAAATTGTTGTTATAATGTAATTAGTATATGTATATGAATTTTGTAGTGAAAAATTTACAATTAAAAGATACTTTTTTTATGTGAAGGACCCACCATTGACTTTTCTTTTAATGTCCGTAAGGCCATATAGGCCTCATATCTCTCTCTCTTGGTAGAATCTCTCTCTCCCCCATTTCTTGCATTTTTCTTTTTATTTTGTCACAAATTTAAGGCTTGATTAAGCCTAATCTTTTGGGAATTTGATGATACTACCTTAGGCAAAGTTGGAGAGCTCGTCGAGGCCGTCATTTTAATTTGAGCAAATCACCATTTGGCTATCCTTGGGGATTTCAAAATTTTGGGCACAAATTAGAGGTTTTTTCTCTCATTTGAGGTAGGAGTGTCCTAATTCACATTTTCTTTGATTCTTTATAAATTTTCCATTCTAAAGTTGGTTATAAGCATGCATAGTTTAGTTATTATAAATATAGTTGTGTTCTTGATGATAAATGATGTGGTGTGTTAATTGAGCCTATGTACTTGACTAATTTCGTTGTGATGAAAAGCATGCTTAATATTAACATGTTGTATGTTAAATGTTTATCAATTGCTATATAAATTTGTGATTATTAGTTGTGGAAATGAATGCTTAGAATTTCTTCTCAAAATGTGAATATGATGTTGATGGAATGTGTAGAATTTAATTGTTAGGTAAGCATGTGAAAGCATGAACTTATACATGCATTCATTGGGAAGAAAAAGATGAAAAGTGTTTTTTAAAAGCAAAGAAAATTGATTTTGCGAAAGATGTTTTTTTTTTTTTTTAAAGGTGTTTGTGAAAACCGGACGCCTAGGAGGTGCCTAGTAGTTTGTGGCGTTAGTGTGGTCTAGAGGGGATTAGGGAGAGACCCTAGTGTGGTTGAGCTAACTAGGCCGGATACGACGCCTTGAAGGTGCCTTGTGGTCATGGATGGTTAGCCAATCCTCCTTTTATAATACCTTAGAGGTGCCTTGCATCAGGTTGCACTAACGATTTGGAAGTTGAAATGAAAATATTTTGAAAATGGGGAGCGACATTGGCACGTCATTGCATTACTGTCACGACCCGAATATTCTCATAAAATGCTCTGATACCATTTAGTCCAAATATCATAGTTATAGTCCAAAAAAAAATATGGTTAAGATTAAAAGTCCATATCTTACAACATTTAGACAACTTATATTAAAGTTACAGCCTATGAATATAATTACAATAACAAGAGTCCATAAGTCTCTATACTGAATATAACAAACTAAAGTTTTATAAAAAAAATGATGGGACTTAGATACAAAAATAGCAAAATGATCCTTTAATCCAAATTAAGCTTATGGTGGAACGTCACCCGCCACTTCTTTCCCATGTCCTGAAAAATGTTAAATAATAGAGTGAGCATAAAGCTCAGTAAGTAGAGCCTAAGACACTCCTCTTGTGACCCCGTGAATCCAAGTAATAATTAAAAATAAAGGAAACAGAATCATGCTATACTGAGGAAGAATATAATACAATTTCAAGGCTAAAAACAAATAATGTCGTGCCATGAAATACATTGCCGTGCTATGTCGCTCCCCATTTCAAAATCATTTCCATTCGTCACTTTTCACACTGTTAATGCAACCCGTCCCTCGGTACCCCCTTGACGACACGAGAGAAGGATTGGCCATTGTCCCTGACCCGTGGTAACCCTGCGGCGTCATTTGGGGCCAGATAGCTCAACCACGCTAAAGGTTTTCCCTAGTTCCCTCTAGGTCACATTAACGCCACGGACCCTTGGTACCCCCTTAGCATCCGGGTTTTCACAAAATCCTTTTTATCAAATCTTTTTCCCAAAATCATTTTCTTTCCTTTTTAAATCGTTTTCTCATTTCTTCACAATGCTTTTACAGGAATGCATCATACCATTTCATGCCATGTCAATTCTCATAATCATACATTTAATTTAAATCCAAACCACTTAGCATGCTTTACAAGAATTTCCAAAAAAATACAACATGCTTACATTCATCAATAATCAAGCATAGTAAACATTTAGAACATGAAATTAATCTATACAAGCATACAATAATCTAATCATATTGGAGGAAATTCAACATAAATTGGCATACTAAACAATAATTTAAGATGAAAATTCACAAAGGAACAAGAAATTTCGTACATTTGAAACCCCTACCTGAAAAAGAATTTTCCTCACTTAATCATCAAAGCCTCAAGCTTCTGCCTTCCTTCGCAACTCTCGGACCTCTCCCTGTCCGTTCATCTCGGCTCTCACTCTCTTTCTCTCTCTGCTCACTCTATCTTTATCAGCTCACTCTCTCTGTGTTTATCTAACTTTTCTCTTCTGTCATTGTATTCCCTTAGTGCACAACTGCTTCAATATAAAGGCAAAACCACCGACACAAAGGAAAAACAAACAAAGAAGCATCATTTTTTGTGGACCCCGCCACCCACTTTCTTTCTCCCTCATCATTTCTTTTCTATTTCTTCTTTTCCACTTTTTTCTTATCTTTCCTTTCTCATTATTGCATTTAGCCAACCTGCTGCCCATTCTTCTCATACAAGGCCACGTGAAGTTAAACAACAAGAAATTCATAGCCACCAATTTCTCTTCGTGGGTCTCGTGGTTCATCACAATCCATTTCTCTCTCTCATTGATTTCGACTGCCTTCTTTTTCTCTCCACAACAAACATTATATATATATAACAAAACCAAATCTCATATCATCCAGTAGGAACCGCTCCAAATCGTCCTTATCAATTCAATATTTTTTTTTTTTGCTTTCTCCTTACGCATTTCCAGCACCTTCTGATCATTTTACAGCACACACAATATATATATAACCAAACTACATACATATAGGTATAACTAATTCAATTAACCAATTCCATTGGGTCTCGCCTAAATCAATTAACCAATTCCATTTTTTTCCCTTCAATTTCGTTGCTCTCTTTTAGCACACAAACTACATACATATAGGTATAACTATATATATATAAAGAAACTAAATCAAACCAAATGAAAAAAAAAAAAAACCTTCCACTTTTCCTTTTCCCATCACAATTCGGCACCTGCATGCTTGCTTCATATCAAATTCCATTATATATGTATATATATGTAATAAAACTAACTTAAATCCAATAATCAATCTTTAATTGATAAGTGATCATAATTATTCAAATTAATTATGACAAAAAAAAAAATGTAATGAAATAAATTAAAAGCTTAAAAATTCTGGTTGTCACAATTACATTGGCATGCATGGTATACATATGGTTGGATGACCTGTTTTGTAGTTTTTTTTTTTATGATATGATTGTCGTCGTTGTGTTTTTTTCCCCCGATTGACATGATCCCTTTTACTTAGTCTATTCTTTATGTGGATTCACAAGGTCACAAGAGGTGTGTCTTAGGCACCTCTTGTAACAACCCGAACCTAGGGGTTCGAACCGTATCCGGGTCCTTATGTAACTACCCGAACCCAAGGGTCCGAACCGTTAACCGGGTCCTTACCCAAACCCGAGGTCAACTAAGTCATACTATCCATTTCCTGCGTCCATGACTATCAGACGAGTCAATCCATCGTCCAAATGCTCTAAAACACAACCTTACAAAGAGGGTCAAATACATAGGTCAAAGAGGAAGGGTCAGCTGACAGAGCATAATCATTCTGTACATGGTTGGTCGGTCTGATATACAAGGTCCGGTCATTCTGACCTCCGATGGCTCTATCATTTTGACCTCGGATGGTTTGGTTGGCCGAAGGAAAGATTCGGCCCTCAGCCGTTCTGAGAGAAAGGATCGGCCCTCAGCCGTTCTGAAAGAATGGTTCGGCCCTCAGCCATTCCGAAAGAATGGTTCAGCCCTCGGCTGAATGAAGGGTTCAGCCCTCGGCTGGCTCTGTTGGTCAGCTAGTTCTCTTTGTCAGCCTGCCGACAAGCCCTGGATAGCTGCTATATACAGCCTGATAGTTCAGAACCCTGGACTCCTAATAAGCCGAACTTGATAAACAACCTAATGTGCAGCCAAACCCGGATTCACGTCTATAAAACATGACATAATATAATTGAAAGGCATCAATAATTGATCAAAACATAACTCTATTACCCATTCATCATGAAATAATAACACAGTCTCATTTTATACAATTGAAAAGAATTAAATACAAGGATGAGACCTCCCTAGCCAAAATTTACATAGCTTTAATATAAATAAAATGAAATAAATTCCTAGCTACATCAGTGTCCATGGATGCACATCATTTTTCGGCTTGTCTCAGAATTCCTGAAAAATGTTAATGATAATAGGGTAATCTCAACAGCTCAGTAGAAAAAAGCCTAAAATACATTCCTAAAAATACCGTGAGCCACAACCAAAGAAGAGGAGAACACGAAGAGGGGTCATGGGAATACCAACCATAACATCATACATAAATTTCACAAATTCGTAAATCATTTCATCACTAATCATGTAGATCAAGAATAAATCATACTTCACAACTCAATACTTGACAAAACTAAATATGCTCACACCAACAAGATTTACATGTAAAGAATACATAGGAAACTCACTAAAACTATAGGAATTCGTAGTTTAGACTTCCCCTACCTCAAGATAGCAACCCAAGCTCCAAGCTCCAGACTCAAATTCCACCAAAAGCTTGTAATATCGGGACCAAAATGTAGCCCTTGCAATGATCTATAATTTGCTAACTCCGGCTTAAACCAAATCTTCTTCTAATATGAAGAAATTCTAAAGAGAAGGAAGAGAGCAATATAGAGAGAGAAAGAGCATGTCTACCGAAGGAAAAGAAAAGAATGGGTCAAAATATAGCTACCCTCTTGGAATCTAGATTCTCTAGGTTGGTTCATGAAGCCAAAATAACAAAAATGCCCACTGAACTTCTTTATAACTTCAACAATGCCATAAAATATCACCCTCCATTTAATGTCACTAATACAACATACATACATGAATACAAATACACACACACATGTGAAATGCCGATGATGCCCTTCCCTTACGATAAGAAAACTAGGAGAAATTCTTGAGTCTAGAAATCATCCTGACTTCTAAAAAAATCTGCAAATGAAACCGTCATTTCTAATTAACTTAGAATGACAAATAAAACACACTTCTAAAGCCCCTCAACTCAAAATGACCAAAACACCCTTCGGGACCAGCGTGGCATACCAAACGAGAAAAGGATTAAAATAATGCAGAAAATCAATTAAATTCCAGAAAATATAAAATAGGGAAAATCGGTAACTTTACACCTTACTCGAACCCGAGGTCATCTACTGTCACTACAATCATTACCAATTCTAAACTACAAGGAAACACATCATACCAAATCTGAAAACTGAAATACGGATTCTAAGTTTTTAAAGTACTGTAATTTCTGAACTCATTTGTGAGCCATGTTAAAGGCTAACCCTGTCCCATAATAGTCACCACATGCGTCTATAATGGTAATATCATGATCATACATATAGACGAAAAACCAAAAGTTCATTTACATGATACATTACATCCAACTACAGTCCCTAAACATAAGCTTACGAAAGAGATACAAAACAAGTTTAAAGTTTTACAAAACTTGTATATACAACAAAAAATTAATATAAGAAAGTCCATTAAGTCCTATCTAAGCCTGTGGGGGAATGTCTTTCGCCACTTCCTTTCTGTGTCCTAAAAAATAATAGTAAGAAGTGAGGACAACGGCTTAGTAGAAGATGCCTAAAATGCACTCCTTAATGCCTCCATGAATCCAAACAAAGAATAGTGATAAGAAAAAGGGTCATGCTTGTTCGGGAAGTAATAATCATCACATAATACGATCTCGTAAACGCAGTGAAATGCAATGTTAATGAGGTGCCAATGTCTCTCCCAATTATCCAAAATTCCATCAAATATTTTCCCCAAATTTCAGATTTTTGCTTTCATTTCAAAAATACAATCTTCTCCTTTTAAAAAAAATCTGTTCAGCCCCATGTAGTACCCAATGTTATGCATGAATGACACACTTTATAATCTCATAATGTTATATCATTTCCAACATCAAATTTCAGTTCTATAAGTCATACTTGATAACAAACTAAAATGGCAGTTTTGAACCCACAATAACACCATCATTCATGCTTTAAAGTCAAGGTCCCAGTTCAGTTTCGAGCAACAACAACCACCACAATCCTTACAACAAAACAGTCTTATTCATGATTTAGAAACAAGGTACGAATTTCAGTTTCATATACAACTATAACACCATCGTTGTAATTACTAATTTTTCAATTTAGAGAATAGCCAACATCAAAACCATCATGCACGTTTTAAGGACAATGTACCAACTTAGAAGAAAACAGCCCATAAGTGAGGTAAACTAAACATCAAATTTTCAGCATCTAAACAACAACAATACAACCATTATGGTTACTGGAATTTCAGTTTTATAAACATGAACACAACCGACATTAAGAAGAGCTCTAATTAAATGTTTAAAACAAATAACACATCATCCCCATATAAAGCTACAAAATTTAAGACTTGCAACAACAACAACACAATAACAACAAGAAGCTAACAACAAAACAATTTCATGGTTGAGGTGAATTATCATAGGAATTTCAGTTTATAAGCACAACTACCCAACCATTGTAATTACTAGAATTTTAGTTATATGCATATAAACACAACCAATATTTAGAGGACAAAATTTTCAGTTTCAAAAAAAAAAAAAAAAAAAAAAAACAAAACAAAACAAAAAAACCATTAATATACAAACTATAAATTTCAGATTTAACTACATAACATGTTTGCAAAGAAATTTCAATTCTAGCCATATTGTGGTTCAACTAAGGAGGTTAATTCACAAGAAAAATAAATGAATTGAGGTCTAGGACAACCCCTACCTCAACCAAGTAAGATCTTCAAAAGAGCCCCCAAATTTCGAAATCTAAGGTTCACCAAATGTTTGCCAAGAAGCACCAAGATGAATAAGAGGACAAGAGGAACAAAATCCTCTCTTGAAGCACCACAAAATTCCCACTCTAAAGGGAATTCAAAAAAATCAGAATTGAGGGAATGAGCTTGATGTTTACATCAATGGAAAGCCCTCTCTCTAAGGAATATTTTTCATTCCCATGGCAACCCCAAAATCCCTCTATAAAGTCATCAAAATCAAGCTATAAAAGAGCAACAATAAAGGAATAAAATAGGTTTAAAGAGAGAGAAAATGAGGAAGAAGAAGAAAAGAAGCAGCTGAAGATAGCTGTCGAATGGGTTTAGTCAAAACAATGTAAAAAATCTGCCACATGATTGTATTAGTGCCACACAAAGGTTTGGTCAAAGGTTAGACCAAAGAAATGATTATAATGCCCCTTCAATGCCACTAATTCACAACAATACTATTTTTATATCAAATACCAATTCCACCTTTACACAATTGATAAATAATAATTAAAATAGTTAATAAATACTGGAAAATAAATTTCAGGACCTAAAACTCTAGGTGTGGGAGCCACATAGGTCTCTCGGGCCGAGAAATCAAAAAATGCTGAAAAATGGAATATTTGTGAAACATCATACCTCCTACTAAGTTTATACTCATCCCATCATTTTAACAATTTTTAGGTTCGGGAAAGGAGTGGCGGACAACGACGTTCCACCACAAGCCTAGTTTGGATTCCATTTTCGTTTGTGTTTTGTATCTAAGTTACATGAGTTTATAGAACCTCAGCTTGTAGTAATGGGTAATAAGACTTGTGGATTCTAGTAATTGTATTTTGTTTCATGGATTGTAAAACTTAATGTAATTATGGTATTACTCATGTAGAAGATTTTGGGACTATGTAAATTTTGTATTTTGAAAGAACATATTCTTCATTTCACAATGGGTTGGAGTAAGTTTTCTAAACTCTTACATAGACCATTATTTATTTTCACGTTCACAGCAATCCAGTACCAGTACCCCAGCTCACAGGGTCATTTCGGTTGCAGGGTCATTTCAGCCGACCGAAATGACTGTTTCGGCCGACCGATCACTGTTCCACCCAAATTTCAGTAGCCTCGCAAGTTTTTGGGCCACAACCGGTCGACCGGTTGTCCATTTCGGTAGACCGGAATAAGCACTTTGGCCGACCGTAATGCAGGGCCCTTCATTGCTCTTGTTCCACCATTTTTAGAGCTATTCCTGACCTTATAATGGTTCCTTAGCGCATGTAATGAGTAGTGATTGAGCACTGTAGATGTCTTGACATGTATATTGTTGATGGTGCCCTTAAGTGACCTCAAGTTCGGGTAAGAACCCAGGTAATGAATTGGACCTACGAGTTCGGGTCGTTACAATATATAAGATCCAAAACTTTATAATATATGCTCCAACAGACCACTTCTCGTCGAAACCTCCATCAGTTGGTGCCCAAGCATGAGCCAGCACTCCACCATGCCCATCAAACGGCTGTCCATCTCCATGATCGATCACCTCTCCGAAAACTAATTGTCAAGTCAGCATTTCAATTAGATTTCTTTGAGGAAAAAAAAAATATAAAGCCACCAAATTCTACTTTATTTTATCATTTTTAAAATCTAGTTAATTATTCCACGTTAATTTGACTTTTACTTGGTCGTGAGAGAATATTCATATAGTCGACTGAGAATTAAAGTGAGGAATTGAATTGGGCAATCATTAGCATTTAACACTTTTTTAATTCAGATATGCTGCTATACGAGCGCGACTGAAGAAGATGGTTTATCAGTGTTCTTACAACAGCAAGAAGAATTGCAAATGACTAATTATTATATTCTATTAAGCATGTGTTTATTCATACATATTTTTAGAATATCCAACTTTTAGCATTGTTCAGGTAAATATTTTAATGCTTGTTAGTTCAGGTGTACTACTATATAACGAGACTAAAGCTGATTCCTTCTGTCTATTGCTATATTTATATACAGTATTTATTACACTTACTCTGCCTAAATAACAGCAACGTTTTCTCTGATTTCAAATATAGCACTTACCTCATCTCATGTTCAATAACACAGATCTCCTTGTCGTGAAAGCTTGAAAATACTATTTTATTCTTATGACAGTAAATAAAATAGTTATTTAATGTTTTCAGGTCAAAATTAATACTGACAAGAAGGTCAATCTTATATTTAAAACTACAAGAGAAAGGTCAATCTTATATTTAACACTACAAGAAAAGTCCATGTTATTTTGATACAGGAAACAAAAGTATAATAAACCCTCATATACATACAACACAGGTAAGAATGCTGAGTTAATAGGTATCTTTGTTCTTGCTTTAATACTTGCCCTGGAGTCGGTATTTAATTATAGTCCAAGTTTTTTTTTTTATATATGTAATACCCAGAAGTTCTCGGGTGGAGGACCTGGTCTTTGCTTGACATATAGGGTCATTGGTTATGATTTCCCAAACATCTAAGGGTCGAATTAATCATTCTTCCCTTCATACTTTTGGTGGTGCAGCGTGCTAAGTTTTAAATGCAAGCATTGAATATATTTGGCTGAGCAACAACGGTTGTGATTGAAACATTAATATGGCTGTTAGCATAAGATTAATGGTGGATTGTAAGGGTCTCTGTCGCAGTACATGTTCACTATCCCTTTCGCTAGGCTTATTACATTAAGGTAGGCTGACTTCGTGTGAGTAAATGAGAATGCATATCCTACCCATGCATAAATTGTTCCGCGCGCTCAACAACTTTGGCTCACAATCAAGGTGACTTTGAAATTTGATGACCTGACATGACGTTAGAATTTTCTTTGAATAGCAGGATGCACTGTCAAGGTTTGATGACTTGGCATGTCATTAAGTTTCCTTTGGATTCGACAGTTGCACCCTCGAAGTTTGATTACCTAGCATGATGTTGAGGTTATCTTTAGGTTCGCGATTTGTGATCTCGAGTTATGATGACCTAACGAGGTATTCAATTTTTTTGGACTTTTCAAGTAGTTAGGTGACTATTTTTCTTTCCTTTTTTGTTTTTTAATTGACAAGAAATACATTCTTGTGGAGATTTGATCAATAGACTTTTTATTTTAAAAGGTCAAAAAGTATCGTTAGTATATACTTTTAATGATCCAAGTGACTACTTTGTCGGCCATATTTGTTTGACTTTTCATAATACCAAGGCTGCCACTGTAGGACACCTAAAAATTATTACCCAAATGAATACAGTAATAGATGGAAGGAATGTTAATGATTGTCCAATTGAATTCTTCACTAAAATTTTGCTACATGAATTCTCACGACCAAGGAAAAGTCACATTAGCGGGGAATGATTAACTAGATTTTAAAAAATATATATTAATTATGCACACTCACCCTTTGAATTTCTGAAGCCCTTTCAAGGGTGAAAATGTTAAGGGCCTCCATGAGCTCAAAAACTATCCTGAAAAGTCGGTTATATGAGCCATCTCCATTCTCAAAACCACTACAGATGAAAATGAAGATCTCTTAGAGTCCGCCATCAAAACTTACCAGCTTAATTATCATCTAACCTAACTGATGATGCCACGATGTGGCGTTCCAGATATCATCAACGGCACAAGTACGATGAGAGTAGGCAAGAAGAGGCCACAGCATCATGGATATGGCCATGGCCAGCACACCCTCCACAAATTCTCTCATTATTCTTTCTTTAATGGTTACCCAAGATGGCCAGCTTCTAAAACACACCTCACCTATGGGATTCCGCCCGGCACTTCCTCCGACTCCATTGGCCCCGTGGCACGAGCTTTTGATCAATGGGCTTCCGCAACACAGTACTTCACATTTGCACAGACTGACTATGGAAGTGCTGACTTGACAATTAGTTTTCAAAGAGGTGATCATGGAGATGGACAGCCGTTTGATGGGCCCTGGTGGAGTGCTGGATCATGCTTGGGCACCAACTAATGGAAGGTTTCACTTAGACGGCAACGAGACAAGGTCTGCTGGGGCATATCCAGGTGCAGCAGTTGACTTGGAGACAGTTGCTTTGCATGAAATTGGACACCTTCTAGGGCTTGGACACAGCGAACCGATGAGAATGATATCATGTATCCATCCATTTCTAGTGGCACCTCCAAATTAAGGTCTGAATGGGGATGATATTCAGGGAATCAAAGTTGTATAATGTTTGAAGAGTGATTTGTTTTCCACGCTTCAAGTGAAATAAAAGAAAGTTGAAATTTTTGTTACCCAAAAAAAAAAAAAACACTCTAGGATCGATGGAGCTCAAATGACAGTATTCTTTGGTTTTGTTTCGGATGTTAGGACAAGAAATGGAGCATATCAAAAGTGAATTCAAGTAAATCCGAGTTAATAAATTCTATATATATTTCTTTTTTTAGGGTGTTATATATGAAAATATTTTTTAATCACCATATTTTCCTGCAAGGTGGGCAGCATGTGGGCAGCATATATCTCCGTCGGAGTTGATTAACACTAGATAGGTCAAGAAATACAGCATATTTGAGATTAATTCATATTAGTTAATTTCTCCCCTTATTTGTCTTTTAAAGTGAAGAAGTGTTGATAGCGAACAGATGTGTTTAAAAGTTGTAGGCATATGTCAAGATGCACGCGATACAGTTTGGCATGAATCCAGATTAAATTTGAATCAATCCGATCCCAACAGAATTAAAACCAATTAATTCGTTTATGTGATCTGAACCAAATCAAAACCTCTTAAAAAAAATAATAAGAATAAGAATAATGTAAATAAGATACTATTAAAGGTGATCTTCCCAAATCAATAGTAGTACTTTCCCGCTAATATTAATTATAATATAACACTATGCAAAAATGAGTGTGGAGATATTAGATTATATAGCATTGAATGAAAGCATACAATTTTTCATATTGTAAAAAAATAATAATAATAACTAAATAAATAAAATTATCAATCCTCGCAAAGTTCACAAAGTACAAAGTCGTCTAGACCATGTAGGCTTACATTATGTTTTATAAAATCATTCACTAAAATCTTTGCTAAGTAACACACACTTTGCATCTTCTCTAAAATTATTCAGAATAACTTCACAGCAATCTCTCAATAACAAACAATTTGTAATAAATCCGTTAAAGAGAGAATTTCAAAAAGAGAAACTTGAACTGTAGGGATAAAACGGTGCCAATATTGGAGCACCAAGGGAGCCGCAAACTGGTTTCAATAGCAAGACCAATCTACTTCCATATGATTAAGGAATCAAAATACAATGACATGAAAGCTTCACAAAAGCTCCTCAATAGCAACCAATTTCCAATCCTATTAAAATAAACCACTATTCCATGTGTTGCATAGAATTATAATAATTATAACAGAAAAAGAAGAAGAAGAAGATATATGCCATTTAATATTATATGGTTTACCTAGCTTCATATTGTGACATATAGGATGGTGATATGAGGCTCTCCACAAAGTAGGTTCCTTGGGCAAGAGACATATTTCCATCCCGCTCAATGTCCGGATATACAAGAACCCTGTAAGTTCCCTCTGTTATGTTGTATAAAACTAATTTGTGGTAGTCTATCCGCAACAGAGCTTCATCACTTTTTAACATACGGAGAAGATGAATTTGAGTATAAGGAATGGTAATCACAAGTTTAGTCCACGATTGTTGCAACCCATATTCCTTCATTATCATAAGTTCCTGAAGATTATTTTGAACTAGTCTTACACAAAGGCCATCCTCCAAACACCTGAATATCGCGACAGATAAGAGTAGCTGCAGGCACAGGAACCACCCGGAATTTCTCCTCTACCAAATCAAAAGCTGCAATCATCTGCCTTTTATCATCCCCATTTGAAGTACCAAACGTCCAACCTAGCTATATTTAAACACTCCCAATGAAAAGCTCCCTTTAATAGTTTCCCGAAAGGGAACCGAGGTGGAAAATTGAAGTCAGTGTAAGGAAAACACTCAACTTTTTTCCAAGAATTCTTTCTTAATGAATACACATGCATTTTATATGCTTCTCCTCTCACCAACTAGTAATCATCGATGGTGTGGTCGTACCCAAATCCGTATGTACTACAAGTTTTCCAAGAATCGAAGATGAAGAGTGGTATTTTCTTGGATTCTCTGGTTGAGGGATTGAATATGTATATGTCTGGTCTCATTAATATGCATACCAACCCATTACAAGAGTCAACAAATTCAAGCTTCCAGGGAACCATGTTTCCATGATCAATATAATTCATCTCTACTTCTTTTACCATCCTTTTGTCTGATTGGAGGTTGTAGGCATAGAAACGATCATGACCAGGAGATCGAGTGCAGACGAGTGTTTGCTGTCTTTGGATGTTAGGATTTGTGAATGATTCATTGAGGTGAGTTTTAGCAAAGTAGGTGCTGGAAATCAAAGAGAGACATGACTTGGAAACGCACTTGAATCGCATCAGACTTGTAATCATCAATGGTGTGGTCGTACCCAAATCCGTATGCACAACGTTTCCCATATTTGTAGTTGAAGAGTGGTATTTTCTTGGATTCTCTGGTTGAGGGATTGAATATGTATACATCTGGTGTCATTAATATGCATACCAACCCATTACAAGAACTGATAAATACATGCTTCCCGGGAACCATGTTTCCATCTATATAATTCATCTCTACTTCTTCTACCATCATCCTTTTGTCTGATTGGAGGTTTATGGAATAGAAACACTCATGAAAAGGAGATCGAGTGCAGATGAGCGTTTGCTGTCTTTGGATGTTAGGATTTGTGAATGATTCAGTTTTGAGAGTATTTGGACCATCACATCCATTGGAAGGTTAGGCAACTGGAACCGGGGAAGACGATCATCACGTTGACGACCATGATGAATAGGTTGTCGTTTGAGTTTGACTTTGTTTAAGAAAACCATTGGTGGTTTGTCTATCACGCAACAACATAGAGTCCACGTAAGAGCCCCAAACTTGTTCTTTAGAGTTCCTTGGTCATATTGGGAATACCAATGAAATCCAAAAAGAATGATCGTGTCACCAGATGTTAGGGTCCAATAATCTTTTAATAGCATCCTTGTATAAGAAAATAAAAAATAGAAAAGGAAATAATAAAATTAATATTCGAAAAGAAAACGCTGTTATAGATTCCTAATAATATTAGTTTCCTTTTCCATCGTGGCCATGGCTTTGGCCTCTTTTGGGAATGTTACCGAAAAGAATTTTCCTTATAAAGGAAGGGTCACATTTATAATTCGATTCTATGTAGAGTTGTTAGCAGAATCTGATTGTGATTTTTGTTGTTATTTTTTTATTTTTTATGTTAAAATTCAATTCTCTAATAATCTCACATTTCCAAAAAAAGTTGGACTCAAATTGCATGAGAGCGACGTTCCTTTAAAATGACTGTGTGAAACCCAACATTGGAGAGTTCATGACTATTTCTTTAAGAAAAAGGCAAAATTGCGCACACACCTTATTGGCATTCCTAAGATTTTATGTTTTATAAAAGGTAAAACTATGCACTAAAAGATAAATTTTACCAAATCGCGTGAATAAGTTAAAAAAAAGTGATGTTGGAACTCAATCGCGTAGTCAAAATCCATCAAATGTAAGGAGAATAGTCTGTTAAAAAGTGACGTTGGAACTCAAATAGCGTGAATCAGGAAAAATAAATAAATAAATAAAACTCAAATCGCGTGAGAGAATATATAAGAGTAACTAATGGTAGACTGTTGTTTTCAAAATATAACAAGTAGGTTTAAAATAAGTTTTTCAATAACATGTTAAATGGACTGTTAAAATATAATTTTGTCAAATATTGTGTCAAATATATCACAACATATAGTTATTGCCAAATCTATTATTACTCTCTTCCTTCTCTCTTTTTTCTCGCATAGGCTGCCAGTTTGGTATTGGGCTTGTGTATATATATATGTCAGTTATACTTGTGTGTGTATATATATATTAGTGTTGTGTGTGTATATGTGTATATGTCTGTTGTGTGTATATATATGTCTGTTGTGCTTGTATATATATATATCAGTGTTTTTATTTATTTATTTTTAATAAGGCAAATAAGCTAAAATAAAATACAAACACTCAAAAAAAAATTTTGGTTATTGAAAATTATAGTTGGGAGTGGTAGTTGAAAAATAATGGTTGTTGTGTTAAAAAATAATATTTTGGATGAAATACATCATTGGAGTATAATTGCTAAAATATAGCATTTTGACACTGTAGTTCCTCTCAAAATATAAATTTGACATGCAAAAATGACTTTTTGCATGGAGATGGTCTAACAGTTAGCAAAATACAAAAAAATCTAAAAGCATAGCACGTTCTAAAAAAAACAATATTTACTTGCAAATTAAGATAGGAGGAACTCAAACCCGAGCATACCCATTTAGGGAGCCGAGTGCTCTACAAATTACAAACCATGACCACTCGACTGGCAATTGCAAATTGTTTAAATTGCATTGGCTTGCTTTGAGTAGGCCTCAATACGCGTGTTTTTGGGCTATCCCATGGGTGCCGATAAGGCTTGGGTTCCTTCTTTTGGGTTGATAAGGTTTGGGTTGCCTCTTTTGGGTTTGTTGGTTCCTTTTGCTCTTGGGGCTTACACTGAAAAACCAATTATAGGTAGTGTGTTGGGTGTTTAAAAAAAAAAAAGGATTCACCAGCGGTTTATTTCTGCCAGTAAAAGTTAGAAAACTACCGGTATTTTCGGCTGCAGTAGCTTACTGCCGGCATTCTACGGGCGGTTTCAAAAAACTGCCCGAAAAATCCCCGGCGGAGGCTTTCTCATCGCTTTTTCCAAACTGCCGGTAAACCGTCGGTGATTACTTTACCGGCAATTTTCTTGTCTTTCCTGGCAGAAAAAAGTGCCGGTAAAATCATTAAATCTTGTAGTGACACACTGAGGGAGCTGAGCGCTCTACAAACCATGACCATCGGACAATGGCAAACGGTTTAAATTGCATTTTCTTGCTTTGAAGTAGCCTCTGGTCTTGTGAGTTTTAATCGGCTCAATACGCCTCCTGCGATTTTGGGCTATTCCATAGGTTGCCGATTAGGCTTGGGTTGCCTCTTTTGGATTTGTTGGTTCCTTTTGTTCTTGGGCCTCACACTGAACACAGTAAACATTACTTATTGATGCACATTGTTTTATCTTTAAAAAAAAAAAAAAAAAAAAGAGTAGAAAATATCTAACAATCTAATGCCTTAAGTCAGCTACTAGCCTACTACTTATGTGTATTTAGACATTAATTATTACCCAAATAAATGGGAAAAAAAATTAGTGTTGTATTTACTCATGCTTGTTAATACGTATTCGAACAGAGTAGTTTCTATACTTTGAATGGTACATCTTGTGAACCGAAGAACCCAACCCTTTCACACTAGAATTGATCCACTCGAATGTTTTAGGTATGTAATTCGGTAACCGGGTTATTTAGTACTTGTGTGATGTCTCACATTGTTTGACGGAGAAGTTGAGCACGAAAAGTGTATAAAGTGGACAACATCTACACATTGTGAATGAATCATGACAACACGTAATTTTTTCTTGGACTAGGCAAACATCAGTCCCAGATGAATCTATAATCTCTGTACAATTGCATTGTCGCGAGAAATTAAAATTTTATAATGGAGAAAATAAAAAACAATTATTAGTGAAGAGCATTAATAAGAACTCTGTAAAACTAGCCAGGAAGTCTTTGTTTATCATGCACTTTTTTTTTATTTTTACCCATTAAAAAGTTCAAATTACTGCAAAAATTGTAAAAGTATTTGTCACAAAAATAGAAATGAGTGTTATCTTATAGGAAGAAGTTAGAACTAGTTAATCTTGAAAAGAAAAGGCATAACGTTGCAGTAATTTTACCAATCTAATATTTGTAGGAAGCTAAAAGAAAATATGACATCTGGTGATCCTGGTAAAATAACAAATTTTAGATGAATTGATAATTAATATGTGTTTAAAAGGTTATTGCAGAAAAAGAGGTCTCAAGACAAGAGGCACCATATCATATGTAACGGAAACTGATATGAACAAGGATTGTCTTAATGAATACACATGCATTTTACGTGCTTCTCCTCTCACAAACTTGTAATCATCAATGGTGTGGTCGTACCCAAATCCGTATGCACAATGTTTCCAATAGTTGAAGTTGAAGTTGAAGAGTGGTATTTTCTTGGATTCTCTGGTTGAGGGATTGAATATGTAAACATCTGGTATCATTGATATGCATACCAACCCATTACAGGAACCAATAACATAAAGCTCGCGACGGGGACCCATGTTTCCAACAACATAATTCATGTTTACTTCTTTTACCATCATCCTTTTGTGTGATTGGAGGAGGTTTATGGCATAGAGACAATCATAATCAGGATCTCGAGTGTAGATGAGTGTTTTCTGTCTTTGGATGTTAGGATTATTTGTGAATGATTCGTTGAGGTGAATTTTAGCGAGTCAGTGCTGGAAATCAAAGAGAGACACGACTTGGAAACGCACTTGAATCGCAGCAGAGTCTTGACTAGTAGTTTTGAGAGTATTTGGACCATCACATCCATGGGAATTAGGTCACGTAGACGACCATGATGAATAGGTTTTTGTTTTTGCCTACTCAGCAACCTCGTTTGAGTTTGAATTTGATAAAGAATAACATTGGTGGTTTGTCTATCACGCAACAACTCTTCCACCTTAGTAGTAAGAGCCCCAACTTGTTTCTTCGAGTTCCTTGGTCATATTGGGAATACCAATGAAATCCAAGAAGAATGATTGTGTCACCAGATGTTAGGGTTTTTGAGCCTTTGAGCTAAAAAAATAATAATCAAAATATAAATCAAACCTTAACTAAGTAGTTACTGGGAACATGGGTAACAATTAGCAAAACACAAAAAAACAATAATAATAATAATAAATAAAATCTAAAAGCAATGTACAAACCATGACCACTCGACTGGCAATAGCAAATTGTTTAAATTGCATTGGCTTGCTTTGAGTAGGCTGACATACCCGTGTTTTTGGGCTGTCCCATATGCTGCCAGCCTGCCCTTAAGGCTTGGGTTCCTTCTTTTGGGTTGATAAGGCTTGGGTTTGGTGGTTCTTTTTTTTGTTCTTGGGCCTCACACTGAACACTGTACATATTACTTATCTATACATATTGTTTTATCTTCCAAAAAAAAAAAAAACTATAAAATATCTAAGAATCTAATGCCTTAAGTCAGCTACTAGCCTACTACTTAAGTGAAATTAGACATTAATTATAAAAAAAAAAATTAGAGTGTTGTATTTACTTGTGCTTGTTAATATGTATTCTAGCATAGTAGTTCCTATATGTTGAAGGGTGCATCTTGTGAACCAAAGAACCCAACCCTTTCAGACTATATATAATTGATCCCCTTGGATGTTTTAGGTATGTAATTCAGTAGTCAGACTATTTATTAGGAGTGACATCTCACATTGTCTGAAAAGAGTATATAAAGTGAATAATATCTACAATGAATCTTTCTTGAAATAGGTAACACCACATCCAAATGAATTTATTCTGTCTATGCAATTGCATTGCCGAGAAAAATTAAAATTTTGTTACGGAGAAAATAAAAGACTATTATTAGTGGAAAACTAGCTATGAATTCTTTGTATATCATGCACTTTTTCTTTTTCTTTTTCTAACCTATAAAAAAGTTCAAATTACTGGAAATATTGTATTTGTCAAAAAAAAGAAATGTCAAAACACGAGTTTCATTACAACACAGCAGCTATAACAATAAAGTATTTTTTCCAACTACTTGGAGTCGCTATAATCATCCTATGTTTTTCATTTCGCTCTCTTAACACGACGAGACTTCGATTAGAAAACAACCAACAAAAACCGACTAATAAAATTACTTTATGTTTTTTTTTTTTTTTTTAACCGGCTTTAATTATTTTCTACCAAAGCAATCGGTGACGGAGATCCACGGGGAGCGGACGATATTGACGGAATGTCAGCCATGGATCCGGAGCGAGCTAGTTTCTGGTTAGAATCTGATTACGAATCTGACAATATCCCAGGAATTTTCAAAATTAATGAAATTATTAAGAATTTTGTTCATCAAGAGATGCAGACAGGCACGTCACCCACACGTACTACCTTTCGCACGAGTATGTCGGCTATGCTTCCGGCGAAAGCGTTGCACGAGTTTAGTCACGGCGAAAGCGTTGCACGAGTTTAGTCACGCCATTCCGACGTCGGAATAGTGTGCTTCAGTCGCTGGTGCAGTTCCTCCTTGCCTTCGCCAGACTCCTTTCTCGAAGTTCAGTTCATCACCGGCCTCGTCATAGTTTAGTAGCGCCATTTCAGTCCACTGTCGATGCCGGAAAACACGTGAAGAAAGAGAGGAGAGGGTTTTGTAGAGGGGTGAGAGGGAAGCGTTGTGCTCAGAGGTAGGGAGAGTGTGTTGTGGGCAAATAATTTGTTGCCATGTGGAAGTCGGGGTTTTTGTCGATATGTACTTGTCGTCAAAGATAACATTTTCCGAATTAACATCATAAGGTAACAAATTGAGACCAGATAATTTAGACCTGTCTGTATGTAGTGTAAGAATTTTGAGCTTTCATTGATGTCACCGCAAACAAATTGAAAGGGACGACTTCAGAGTTCACATTTAGTCTGATGTAGAAGAGCACTGTTTTTCTTAAAACTCAACAACTACTTAAAAGAAAGAAGACGGAGTCAATTTTGTAACCCTGATGAATACTTTTCCAAGAAGAGAAAATGAATGATGGAAGGAAAAAAATTGTAGGACCACCAAAGTTAGCAATGAGGACCGGCAATGTTTCATGTGTTTTTTTTCTATTAATTGGGCAAGTTCGAGGAAAGTGTATTCCTAATTTCAATTTTCAAATTCAAATGAGACTAGCACTAAACTTATCAAAGCCCATTTCTCAAAAATTTATTCAAAAATTCTAACATCATAAGGAAACAAGTCAATATCTCTGAAAAATTTGTCGTCACCATAACAATAAAGCGGAAGTGCAGCTTCCCCAGCCTACTTTTTTACTTACGGAAAAAGAAATGAAGGATACCAACAATAATTTAACATCAGATGAGCACATTATGTTCATGGCACTTTAGATGGTTTCTACGAAATGATACGTGCATATCTTCAGGCAACAAATCTTTCCAACTTATTGCATGAAAGCTATAGTGTCTCTCCATCGTAGATTATCATTATAAATGTCAAATTGGTAATCACCATTAAAGAGATTAAAGTATTCCAGGATTAATCCACCAAACCAGTGTGCCAATGAGAACCTAATCTAAAAAGACTAAAATCACTCCCAGTTTATTATTTCGAGACAACTCCAGCAATTTATAAAAACCTAAACCCATACTAGACGTCACAAGGATAGAAAGTTACAATTAAAACACACAAGCCTAATGCTTCCAGTGCAAATGACAGAGGGTAAAGACTAGAAGATTCCTCACATGAATTTCCAATCCTTCCTGACAAAGACGTCCTAGAAGTCTAAGGGCTTTTAAGGAGGGAGGACACGACACAGACTTAACCTTTACTATATGACAAAGTGGCTACTCTGAGGTTCAAACTCATGCCAATGGCACCAATGCTCAAGCATTTGACTGTTAAACGTCATCCTTGAAGACGTATCAAGCCCTAGCGACCACTTAATTCACCAAGGCCGTTAAATTTAATGAGTTGTGTGGGCAACAAGGATCCAACATCATCAATAACCTATCGAGAAGCATGCTTTTTCCAGCACAAGCCTTAGGGTTGGATTTTACTGGAGGATCGTGTTTATGCAGCCGCCACATGACAAAATTATAGGCCATAACACTAGCAAGAAGAAGGACAGGAAATACAAATATGTCTGTCTAAAAGAAGAAAATTGTAAACCAGCCAAGACCACCCTAAGAAGGACAAGTTATCCACAATATTCACTATCCTTCTATACCGTCATCAACACAGCAACAATGCCTACCTCATGATATAGTCAAGACAAAGCTATTCCACCCCCAGTCCCACAAAGGGGAAAGGGAAAGAAAAACTAGAAGTTTGTAGAGTACTAACAATTAACTTTTGAATATATTAATTGATTGGATTAGGGAATAACAATTCATCTAAGAAAGCTTAAAATTATTGAATGTACATTAACAAGAACTTTGAACCTACACAAATAACACAAAGATGCTTTTTTCCTGCGCTTCATAACTCATTCTTTATTTCTCATATTTAAATCGAAACAGACTTATCAAAAAAAATATTTAAATCGAAACAGAAAGGTCTAGTCTAAACAGGGGATGTAAAATGTATAATTGGGATAGAAAGGGCTATTTTTATTTTCCGCATAAAAATCAGTCTCTCTATTTTTAATAATCTGTGGTTTGTTTATTTGTTTTCAAGGTTGATTGCATGCTTAATTAGACAAAAATTGATGTTGGAAATTGCTTACGTAATATTAACCATGAGTAAAATAGAAGACCCACTCATCCCACACTACATCAAATCAATAGTCTGTGACTCCATTGGACACTCCCATGTGTGCAACTCTCAAAATGATGACCTCCTTGGCTCCTTGTTAGTGGGGATGTGTTTATAATATATCAATAACAGCTATGTTCATATGCAAAAATAGAAACTGATCGAATTTCTACAGCAAGTTCATATACTCCATGGAACATGAGTTTACCTATCAAACTACAACTTTTATGCCTCTTAAACTAACAAGCTTCTAAGTTGGTCGAACAATTACAAATAAAACCTAGTGGAAGCACTTATTCTCAATCACACACTATGCAACAGTGTAAACGAAGACGGTAAAGAACAAGAAATAATAAGAGGCACCACATTCAAAATCTCACAAGAACAATAATTAGAAACACAATGTAACAGATGGTAAGAGTTCTTTTAAACCAAAAATGAAACAAGGAATTTCTCGATTCTATTATACAGAGCAAACCAGGTTCTTCTGAACTAAACACATAATAAAATAATAAATTATGATGCTTCAGTCATCAAATAAACCACTAGAGTTACCTCACTGGTGAGAACCATGGCCATTAACACCCAATTCAGGAACTATTACAATAGCCTTCTGGTCCACCCCATTCCCCTCCTCTCTAATCCCATCCTCATTGTCATCATCAGAATCCAAAGTAAAGTGAGCCTGACCATCCAAATGCTGCATTTCTGACCCGAGTGGCCTATACTGAGAAACCCGGGGCCCGTTCTTCTCACTTAAAACTGAGAACACCCCCACAACCAAAACCACAAGCAAAGCAAGATGACAATTGAACTGAAGCGTCGCGATTGCTCGGCCACGGTGATACTCAGGGTGTCCCTTACACCTCACAGTATAATTCCCCCTACTCTTATCATGCAAAGAACATCCATGAGCCATCCAATTCGAATAAAACGATAAACCCATTTGAATAAACCACATCCCCTGCAAAACCAATCCAATGCCAAGCCCCAATCTCGCAAAATGCGATTTTGGGGTTCTGCACTCGAGAACCGTTGACACCACACAAACACCGATCGGAACAAGCAAAAGATCAAAGTAACGATTTTCAATTCCACTTGGGTCTTTTCTTTGAAGGTAAAATAGCAAAAATTCTTCAACGAAAGCGAATAAGCAGAGTAAATTGAGGATTGGTGATGGTAATGAGATCCAATTATTGAAATGGGTCAACAGACCAAGTACAGAGTATAGAAAGAAAAGCGAGGCGATGGCGATTACCTGTAATTGGATAGCTACGCCAATATGATCGCTGTTGTTGGCAGCGTCGATTGAGGAGATTATAGAGTTGAGGATGAAGAAGAAAGAGAGGAGAGAGATGGCGGTGAAGGTTACCGATGGAGATAACGACGCCGTTTTGGTTGATTTTGTTGTTGATGATGATTGGTTTGCTGGGAACGGTGGTGATTTGGATTTTAAGGTTTCAGAGGATGAGATGAGAGATTCCAAGGCACCAATCAGAATGAATCCACCTCCGGCTAAGGTGTAGGTGAAGAGACCCATTGTTGAATTGTCTTCTTCTCGCTTTACGGGTTTCTTTATATGTAAAAGTTTCTCTGTCTAGAGAGAGATTGAGGGTGAAGGAGAGAGAAAAGCTTCGAGATCGATTTGGTCTGCAATGGCCTCGGATTCTTTGTGGTTGGTTCATCAGGTTCTGGTAGGTCGAGTCAACAACCATTGGGGATTTTTTGACCCTTTCCTACGACGGTTCACGGTTTTTTCCTCTCTTTTTTTTATTTTTTATTTATTTGGTGATGTACATGGTTTCATGATTCCAATATTCTTTTATTTTCAGAAAAAAATAAAATTAACATTGTCAATCTAATTTTGAGAAAATTCAACAAAAAAACTAAAACAAAAAACACAAATCCTCAAGAACTTCGTGACTTTCAATTTTGTTGGAAGTAATTTTTGTGGACTTCAAATAGTAGTATTTAACAACACTTTTAAATATGGACCTTTTCTCTTCTTATAAAGTGTGTATCTAATTATGCAATAACCCAATTGAACGGAACTGTTATCATGTGTTTTAATTGAAAAAAAAAAAAAAAAAAAAAAAAAAAAAAAAAACCTCTATCAACCTCCTACATTTTTAAATTGTGCAAATTGGTACATTTACTCACGAAATATCTAAAATACCCTTATAGTAAAACTAAAAAGAAAAATAATAATAAATAAATAAATAAATAAAATAGATGAAATGTATATTTCAAACCTCTCTTCCCTCCCAAGTGTTGTTTGATAAAATTAAAAATTAAGTGCTAAAAATTTCAAGTATTAAATTTAAGCGCTCAAATTTTAAGTGCTTAATGAATTAATTTGAAATTTTATATGATATTGTCATAATTTTTAGCGTTGAATTTATTAAGATTGTATGTTAAATACAAAAGTTGAAATCTAAATGTTATATATATTACATTTTTGCTTTCAATATCTTCTACACATAATATTATTATTATAAACGATACTATATAAAAATATATATAAACACATATATAAAATAATGAATTTTACTACAAGAAATATATATATTTAATAATGGATATTAATGTCAAAACTAATCATAAAAATTTCAAAATCAAAACACAAAATATGTGTAAAGATGGTACATAAGAAAGAATTTTACTCTAAGAATTATTATGTTATATCAGTGGAATCTAGTGTCAATTCAATTTTCACTCGACTATTCTAAATCGAATTCAGTTTTAAATTTTGAAAGTATTTGGGTTGGTCCGAATGGAATAGTTTGGGTTGATGAAAGAGTGGGGTTGTGGTTGATTAATTAGTATTTGTATTTATATTTACATTATTTAAGAAGAAAAAGAGTAATGTTAATTACAACTTTTGAGACTATGGATTAAACTAAAGATCAATATGCATTAATCAGCAACCCAAGGGAAGGAACGAAAGAAACTTTAGATAACCCGATCAGTTGCTTTAATTTGGTATGTAACCAAAATAGTGTTTTAAGGGGAGAGTACACAAAAGTGTTATCTCGTGTGTAATATTTTAAGGCGTAGAATGCAATCTAACCATCAACCCCAACTCCACTCTCTCTACAAATCGCAATCTCTCTACGCTCTACAACCCTTCAACAATCACAGACAAAACCCATTTTCAATCATTTGTAAACCCTAGCTTTCATTCTTTAGGGCTGTTGAGGCTGAAATTCGCGCAGTTCGATACGATACCGTTTTCCTGTAAGGAAAAAAGGAGAAGATCGATGAACCTTGACGGCACCGGTGTGGTGCCTGCCAAGAGCTCCGGTGTGGTGCCTGCCAAGAGCTCTCCGACGATCAAATTAGTCACGGAGGTCTAAAAAGAAAGCAGGGATTAATAATAATTTTTACGTCATACCTTCTTTAATGGCTTGGTGCCCTATTTATGGCTGTCGATTGGAATCAAAATCGTTCCGCCAATGTCGATGGTTGATCTTATCTTCCGCTTGTGCGAAATCATAAGAGATTTGTTGCCAAATTTGTCGGGATATGATTTAATCATTTTGACCTCCTCCAGTTATAATAGGATTACTCTTACCTGTTAAACCACGTCAAATTTCATTATCCTTGATAAGGTAGGTTTATATTTTTTCCTATCAAGGACAATTTTTTGTGATTTACAGTGAGAAAACGAATGGGTTAGATTTATGTGTTTCACAAGCCAAATCGAAGGTTTTGTTGAATAAGTGTTGTTGAGATGAAGGTAAGTGTTTACTACAATGCTCTCTATTAGTTTTTCGAGGCTCAATCTTTGTTGCTCCAACTCTGGTGTTCATAAGAATCTCCATTACCAACTCTACATTCAACAAGTGCTTGAATGCTGCTATGGTTTTGGATTACCCCTCAGTGGACACATAAATTCACAATGGGGAAAATTGTGGGCCGATATTGTCTCAGATTCAGGCAATTGCAGCCCTGTTATTTTGCATGCTCACAAAATAGATGAAATTGTGACAAAATTATTGATGAATGACCTACTATTGTTAGTGTTCCAAGAACCAACAATGTTCTTCTAATTTCATCTAAAACATGTTTGTTCCTTGTAATGAAATGAAGAGAAGCACTATATATATATATAATAGATAATATATAGATACCAAAGATTCCGATTTGAATCAAACAAGTAAATTCATGAACACATCTTTTTCTTGCTCACATGTCTTCTACCCTTTTCAGGAGATGTATAGAGATGAAGCAATGAAGCTACTGTTGCAGTGAACATGAAACAATATTGCAAAATGATAAGGGCAATTTTGTAATTAACATCTCTGATGAGCTTCGGCGGTGGATTTGGATTTTGTTGTTAAATTGCACTTTTTAAATAGTTTAGGGGCACTACTTAGTTGAGGGATCTTTTTGGCAAATACATCTCTTATTTGTTTTAGAATTGTAATTTGATATATATAGGTATGTATTGCGATTTCATATTGTAGTTCATTCGGATGTAGTATGTGCTATGATTTGGGATAATTGTATTTGAAACTTGGAAAAATCAAATAATGAGGCCATAAGGCCACTTTTATTTCAAATGAGTATTACTTCCGTCTTATTTTACTCACTTAAAGATATATGTTGCCCACACGTATTTAGGATTCACCATGTTCATACTATATTCAACACTTGAGAGGTTTTAGATTCAATTTTGGGACCATATATATGCATATGAATGATTTAGGGTGGCCATGAACCTTTCTGTATGGTTATTTTTCATTCTATTTCGTTGAGATCAATCTCAGGTTCACTGGGATCGACCTTTGGTTCATTGAGATCGATCTCAGATTGTGTCTCCAAGTGTGTTTTTCATTCTGTTTTGGTAGGATCAATCTTAGTTTTAGTGGGATCAATCTTAGTTTTAGTGAGATCAATCCTTGGTTCGTTGAGATCGATCTTAGTTCTTATTCACAACACTATAGAGCTGACTTCAAACGGTTATACCTTCCTCATCTTAAATCCAAATTAGGTCATTCTTGAGTCCAAATTGACCATCCTGAAACAAGCTTTCCAATGGTACTAGTATCATTCCAAAATTCATACCATAGAGTGATTTATGATCACTTTAGTGAGGATGTGTCATGTTTTCCATAGGTCAAAGATGCCGGTTATATCGAAACCATTCATCTAGGGCCTAAAACCTCATGGAATGTCATAAGTGTTCGGTATAACATTTAATGAACCTCGTTTGATTCATCTTTTGGGTCATATTAGCTATGTAGGCTAATGTGGTCCCTACCTTCCGCTTTTGTGATCGTTTTTTATTCTTTTATCCTTAACTTCCGCAGTTGTACTCATGCTCGAGTCTTGTTATGTCGTTTGAGATTCTTTTGTTATCATAGAGATAGTATTTGTCTTTAGTGACGGTTTTATTCATATTCTCTTTTGCACTCGGGTTTAATTTTCGAGGGACGTTCTTAGTTAATGCATCGGATCATAAGATTTGGGGCGTTACAAATAAAATGAGAAACCTCTTACTGTTGTAATATATACTATAATGTATCTAAAATATGTTTTAAATCTTACAATTAGTTGATTTTGCAATAGTTTTCAAATACATATTTTGATCGAGAAAATATTTAGATATTATTCGCATGATTGTGAGCTTATAATGGTCAAATTTCATCAAATTCACACCATTTTATTGTCTGAATTAATGATGAAAATAATTTAATTTCGTTGATAAAGGATTGTTCAACAAATAAATTTAAAGTGTGTATATATATATAATATTACTATAATTTGATTGGTCTAACTAAACATTATGTGACTATGAATTATCATTATATTCTTACACTTTCGTGTTTTACAATTAAGCAGTAAAACTGAGCGCGACAAATCCATTATATTACATGAAAAAAAAAAAAAAAAAAAACATCCATTATATTCATATTCCTTTCCTGCCGTATCCCTCCCTTGGGTACCAAACTACCAAGTGCATGTGGCATTAAATTATTGTATTAATCTAAAAATAATATTGGTATTCAAAGAAGAGTTTGACATATTCCACTTTTGCATACATGGACTTTTGACTTAGTTTGGTCGCTGGAATGAAATGAAATGAAGTTGAAAATGGAATGAGAATGTTATGGAATGGAATATAATAGAATGGTCATTTTTATTTTTTTGTTTAGTTGTAAATATAAAATGACATTGTAATGAATTGATAATCATAATTCTAAGTTATGGTAGTAGAAGGCAATGGTGGTGGAGGTGGCCGCCAAGGTTAGATCTAGGAATTGTCAATGGGTGGGATGGTACTAATAAATTATTATTATTATTATTATTGTTATTATTTTTTTTTTTTGGATTGAACTAAAATTGGCTATAGTAATAGACAATTTTTTTTTTTTTTGGTGAGCTTGAGTTCATCAAAGTCCACCCTTGGATCCGCCTTTGGTGCCCACGACGGTGGAGGAAGGTGGTGCTCGTGGATTGTAGCAGTGGCAGCAAGTGGTGGTGGTGGATTGTGGGGGTGGCCAAAAATTTCAGAATGAATTTTCATTCCATCCGTTTAGATTTGGAATGAATTTTCATTCCTTAAAATGGTTAAATCCATTTTAAATGTCATATCAAATAATAATTATAATTGGAATGGAATGTTCGTTCCATTACCTTTTGTTCTATTTCATTCCATTCATACATTCCAAACTAGGCTTAGTGTTACACATTTTTTTTTTCCCTTTTTAAACTAATCTAAAACTCTAAATCTCAAGTTTTTAACCATGGGTGTATATACAACAACAGCGAA